CCTTATCAAAGCTGAACATGTACTCGTGACACCGGTTGTGACACAAATCATTGTACTTTATGCACCCAATAGCAACGTTGTCCCTCGCCGCAACGAGTTCCTCGGCAGTCAGTTCCTGATCCCGACCCTTTTCCTTCAGCTTTTCCTCGGCTCGACGAACGCCCTCTAGGAGCAAGTCAGCGAGTCGCACAGTGTCTCCACTGCGAGTCTTGAACTTCTTCCCATCTTCGCCCAAGACAACGCCAAAAGTGGCGTGGTCCACACGCACTTTACTACGGTCCCAGATTTCTGCAATTTCCCCGCAGCTGAAAATCGTCTTGAAATGCGTGGACTGCAGAGACAAAAAAAAGAACAATACCGTCATAAGCACTCGAAATAAAACAAAACCAGGCCCACGATAGCGAGCCTTCGATAGGATAAACGAATATTTTGGATTATGCAATACAGGTAGACTCTCTTCCCATATTATAGGGGTTTCCATTGCATTTCGCAGTAGAGTCCCCTTTTATTTTAAAAGGCATTTATGAATGACCTGACATAATATCGCTGACATTCTGCGGGATGTATAGAGGAAAAGAATGTTCTGAAACAGGAATTTCAGCCTTACGTAATTCGACTAAAATTACTTCACGGTAAATTTTCATTATATTTATTTAAAAAATCGAAATTGATGCAATGTTTTGAATAGAATCTTCAATGCTTCGGAATGAATCGCAAATAAACGAAAAAACTACAAAAATTATCACTTCAAACACAAGGAATTTCAAAAATACTTTAGAACGACTCAAGTCTTACTGTGAGGTTGGGTGAGTTTGAAGATTTATTTATTTTTTAAATCCATACAAACCTGTCCTTCGTCAGTGACGTAAATAATTCGATCAGCCTTTTCTTCTTCGATTCGCTGCTTCAAAGTAGCCATATCCGACGTATCGTATGTATAGGACCCGTCAGTTTTCACAACAGTTAAAGGCACCTTGCTGGACTCAGGTTTGGCAAACATCACTTTTCTTCCTTCGTCTTCTATCAGCAAACCCTTGTCTTGCAGCAATTTCACGACAGCGTCCATGCGGGATTGGTAAAATGACTCTCCGCGATCGGTTATCTTGATATCCAACAGGTCGTATATTTTCTGAAACTCTAGAAGACAATCGGAAGACGATTTAAAAAAAAACCCGAGTGAAATATCTAATTTACGCCTACAAGTTACAGGATAAATTAAGAGGGACAACCAATTTGAATGACCAGATTTTATAGATTTAAAAAATATATTTACTGATTAAAACATAGAATTTTATAAAAATGACAAAATTAATTTCAATACACCTTTTTAACCAAGCCATGCTGAGTACAGTACATGTTAAAAATTGTGCAAAAAAGGAAGTGAAATTGTTTTGCGTGGCAGGTCTTAACTTCACAGGTTATTCCACACTTCTGACATGCAAATATTAAAAATGCCTTCAAGTATTGAAGGGAAACCAGTATTTTTTGCAATAAAGAAAATTCCCCAACCTTTCCTGGAAACCTCGCATATTTGCTCCCAAGCGAGAATATAATCCGGATCATGACTCTGCAACGATTTCACTGCCAAATAAGCCCGTTTCTTAAAATCGTCTTCCGTATCAAAACGCAGTTTCGACTCCTGCAACGAAATAAGCACAATTAAAAAAAAATTTCTTCTGAGATAAGTAAGAGAATTAACGAGTGAAACATCTCTTTAGTAAATTCGTGGTACGAATGAATGGTACGAAGGGTATATTGAAGCCTTGAGAATATTACCTTATAGAGAGTTTGCAAGTCTTTAATCTCCGGAGTTTTCGATTTAAAATCCGGAAACTTTTCCTGCAAATGGGTGATCAACATGCCAAACTGTGTGCCCCAGTCTCCGAGATGATTCAGTCGAAGAACGTCATGTCCCACGAACTCGCAAAGACGAGATATTCCATCACCAATGATCGTGGACCTTGAATATTTAATGAAAAAAAATCATTCACACCAATACGAAAAGAAAAACTTGAGGGGAAGGGAAGATCAACAAAAAAGTTGATTGGTGAAGAAAAATAATTATCACCACCCATAATTAAGATTTTCCAAGGACACAATTTTTCCTTCCTCATTAACTACGGACAATGCATTCAAAAAATACCTGACTGCCTTGCAAAAATTACAACACCAGATTAAATGACTAAAAAAAGCATACGAGGACACACAAATTCCTTGTTCTTCCAGGTGCTCCAAAAATAGGTCAAGATCATCGGTTCTTCAAAGTATTTCCAACTATACGTCATCGTCATCCAAGCAATACATTTTTTTTTAAACTAGCCCCACACTACACTTGCCTATGACAATATGAAGATGACTTGCAGGACTTTCGGAGAACTCTCATCACACCAAAAAGAAAAAAAAAAATTGGAACAATTTTTTCTTTACCTTAAATGGCCGACGTGCATTTCTTTGGCGATATTTGGAGACGAAAAGTCGACAACGACCCGCTGTCGCTTGACTTTCGGAGGCCGGACACCCAATAGCAAAATATCCCGAACCAGGTCACAAACGTAAGATGACTTCAGACGGATGTTGACAAAGCCAGGCCCAGCAATTTCTAGGGACTCGATCAATTCGCTCTTCTCTTTGACCGCAACGTTGTTTACCACGGCCACTGCGATTTCTCGCGGGTTCTTCTTAACTCCTTTCTCTGACAAAGCCTGGATCAAAGCAAACAGGGATATGGTGAACGAAAATAAATTTGTTTTTCCAAGAGAAACGTATCAAATCATTCCTGGACACATTTGCCCATGAAAGCGAAGTCAAAAAATACAAATCACGGAAAAAAAAATTGATGACAAATATAAAAGAAGGTCTAAATGAAAATACGAGAATCGCTCAAGAGAGATGCGGTCAACTCAATTTAATGGAATAGGAATCACAAGCAATTCAGATTTTCAATTGTAAAAATCTTGGAGAAATTTCGGAAAAACGGGTCATTGTGTGGACTGGAAAATCTGCATAATTTGCGAAAAAAAAGATACCTCGGGAATTACTAGCGAAAATCAAGGGCAATTTGCTGAACAAATTTCACACCATGATCATGAACAATTCAAAAGCTTTTCTCCAACTCACCATTTAGTTTTTCTAACTTTAAAATACTGTATTAAAAAATCCTTGATAATCGGTCCAAAATGTTTTTGACCAACCTGCGCCTCATAACCTCACTAATCCGTAGTACAGTTTTCGATGGAAAAATCTGAATAAATCCTGGGGTATTCCATGTGAAAAAAATGGGCTGAAGCCTATAAGAAAAATCACACCTTTGCCATTCCCAACGCTGAATTGAATTGATAATCTCCAAACTGGGGCTTCGACGCAGGATGAACGGCAACAGGGAAATTGCTCAATTCCGGAAACGCCTTTTGTGACGCCGCAGCAAAAATGGTTTCCAGTACACTGATGACATTGACCATTGCTGAGTCGTCTTTCACGTGAACAGAACCTCCCGAATCGCTGGATTCCTGGCCTCGTTTATCCATGGACCGTTTGAGGATGTTGAGACGGTATCGCATCTTCGCATTTTGCTTCTCAAGCTCCGCAATTTCCGCGGAAACGTCGGGAGCGGCCCTCGATTCCAGGTTTTCCACTTCGCGCTTCAACTCTTGGTAAGTCGCCATCTGCAATTTTACCCCCCAAAAGGAATATTATGTATTTGAAACATTATGATAAATTGATAAGACCGTTTTTATAATTCGTCTCGAAATTCTAGAAATACGCTCATCATCACAAATTTTAGCTGGCGAAATAGGAAAAATGCAATTACAGGTGGACTCTCTCTACAACGATTTTTTCTTGTTGAGTTATCTCTCCACGTTACACGGGGTTCTCTACAAAAAAACTATGTCTACAACGAATTTTTCGAGTCCCTCGTTGTAAACAGTCCACTAGTACAGTATTTGGAAGAGCAGGTTAACGTCATTTTTCAAGCAAATTTTTCGCAAAAAGTCGCGAACAGATTTTTGTGCTGGTTTTGAGGCTTCACAATTTCTTTTGCACAATTTATAACAGGCCTGTGACAATTACAATACTTTTAATATCCACAAATTATCTGGAAAAACTTTCTTCCAAAATGATTTTCATATCCATTTGTTTTGCATATAGTTTCTTACCCCCGCAATGATTTTAAAAGAGCTTCAAAACACGTTGCATGTACAAACCCGGAAATTAAATTGATGGTGCAACGTTTTGCTAGTTTTTATCATTTCCTCAACTACAGGCATAAAAACACTCAAATACACGAAAGCAAGAGAGAGTATTCTCGAGTAGCGATTTAATTTGCGTTATCTTGGATTGTCTCTTCGCCATTTAACGCACAGGTGTCGCATGCATCTGACGACGAATTTTTTTTTGTTCAAATAAAAAAAAAAGAATTATTGAGCTTGAATACGTCAGTTCCAGGTCGATTCAGGTAAAACAGGTCAGGATATTTCAAATTCAATAGGTGAATATATGTCCAGTTTTTGATGCAGGTGACATCTATTTTAAGCTCCAGAAATTGAAGTTGGGCAGTAATACTGTGCATTCTGCAAAATGCGAACACTGTATCCTTAAATTCGTTTGCAATGTCGCAGATAACTCAAAAAATCGCGAATTCATTGCTTTGAGGTTTCAATTCAAGGGATTTTATCGAGAAGAAATCAAAACAGACTCACTTGAGTTTGCAGTCGATCCATGACTGCTTTTAAATCCGACGACGACGTCATTTCACGCAACAAAAAAAAAGGGTCTCACGCTGTCTTTTTTCCTACTGATCTATTGATATCAATGATCCCACGTTATAATACATCACATGACGCAAATCAATCAAACGCTATTTCTCCTGCCATGGCTGATTTCCACTCTGACGAGACGGATAAAAAGGTCTCGTAACAAACAAAAAAACTATATTTCGGTTGACAAGACGTCCAAATCCGCGAACATTTGACAACGAATTCTTTTTGGACTGAATGTTGAATCACGTGATTATTTTAGGGCCAAATTGAAAAAAAAAGATTACAACTTTCGTGGAAGTCTTGATATAATTAACATCTTACACGAATTGACGCAAAGATGAAATAATTCGGAGTTAAGAAGTCTTAATAACAGTGAATTGCTAATTTTTTTTTATTTGCGCAAAGGTTTACTTGAACAGTATTCCACATAACGCAAATTATTTTCTCTGGCCTCAATTATTGCATCACTTTAATAATACACGGTTTTTATATTATTAAATTTGGTTTTGATTACAGAAAAGGACTGAAGATGTTTGACTCAGTCTAAGGTATTGCGAACTCGAAGAAAATCGCTACAGCTCAATCACTTGTTCCAAAAAGTTCTTTTGAATCTTTCATAAGCTCCTGAAAAAAACTGATCAATTAGCCCTTGTACTTTCGCAGCGTAATTCAACCTCCACTCGAAAAAAATAGTTTAAAAAAATTGAGGTTGCTCGCGAATACGGAATAGCACGATTTCATCACAGACCAAAATCCAACACACAAGACAGAAAAGAGTCGAGTACAGTGGTGCCTCATCCAACAAACCCAATTATTTCAAATTTGTGATTTGTTGCTGGAGGCATTCTTTGATTGGGACCGGTTTTCTTGAAAAAACAAAAAAAACGTGAAAAAATTAAAATTACTGGTACAAGATCTCGTGAAGTTCCTTACTAGACGCAATCTTCTCAAGACTTACATTCTCGTCACTTCAGAACCTTGGGTAACAGGAAAGAAAATTTGTTTAAACAAGAGCGAGAAAATGATTTTGAGAAAAACCCCCATTAAATCAATTCGCTAAAATTATCTTTACGAAGAAAAAAAACTGAAAGACTTTAAAACTATGGCCGCCGTGTCCCTATTTAGGCCAATTGAGTTTACGCGTAAATGGTGTTTTTGATGTTGTCACATTTAGGGTTTGTAGTTTCAGACACTTTCTGACGGGAAATCGTATTTACTAGAGTACCGCGCAACCAGGTTTTCCAGTCCAAAATTTTGATTAAATTGTATCTTCAAGTGAGACGCAAGCCACAAATTTTAGTGAGTCTCGAACTGCAATACAGTACAGTACAGTATTTAAAAAAATAATTACACACAAATTTAAATTTAGACAAGAAATGAACCTGAATTTCAACTAATTTTCAATTGTTTCCGTAAAAATAAGTTTTCCTGATTAAATTGGTCCAAAACATTCCATGAGAATGAAGTTTAATATACACCTAAACTTCTGAAACTATTTGAAAAATGTAGACCCACCTACGACGCGCACGTTTTGCTTCCTTCCAAATTTGAGAAATAGGTGCGCGTGGTACTTGAGTAAACACAGGTATAGGTTCGTTGCATAAGGCACCACTCTAAAATTCTTTTTTTTTTTCTTCCTTCAAGAAAACACTCGTCACGATCCATCCACACTCAGCGAACCCCGCAACAACACCCCGAGTCTGGGCATGTTCCCAGCATTGATCTCCTTCGGGGGAGGGAACCGGATCCCAACAGAGTCCGCACCAGAATCTGCCACGTAACAAAACGGGAACCGCAGGATCCAGTACTTGCTCGGGGTGAGCGCCATCGGAGAGAGTGTCGTCGGTCCGTCGCCGGCGGTTCCGGCGCCGCCTTTCGGAGTGAACACAGGCGCTTCCGGACTCGGGCGCACGCGTGGATCCAACAACACTCGTGCCGGCGCCTTCGGGGTCACGACGTGGAGTCGCATGAGTTGCGCCACCGCGGCCGGTTCGCTCCTGTTATCGCAATGAAGGAAAGAGAAACAGGTTGAAGAATCTCGGGTACTGTTACATTGCGTGACCATCCCTAGAAAATGTGATACACCAAAATTATTATCATTTTTATTATTATTATTACAGTCGAACCTCTCCAAGAGGAATTTCAGGGGACCAGGAAAAATTCCGAGTTAATAATGTTTCGAGTTAGGGGGAAAAGCTTTTTTGTTTTGGGAAAGAAAGAAGAATTACAGGAAACTGCAATTGGTGATATTCTGGGCCTTGGAATTGCTTCTTAAATGAGTTGACAGGATGCTGAACTTGGAGGCAAGGGTTATTTGCCCGATTAGTCTTTCACTTCCTTTCAAACACACATAACGTTACTTTTTTTCATAGCTTTTCTCATTCCTGCGTCAAGAGAATAATAGTCAAAAGGCTTCAGAAAATTCGAGTTACGAAGTTTGAAAGGAAAAGCCATCGAGTTAGAGACGTTTTTAATGCATTATTTCTCAGGGAATGCAGACGGGGACTTGATTTTTATAATTACGCTGTCCGCTGGAAAAGATTCGGATAGCTTCGGAATGAAGTCACAATTTTGTCGAGTCACGTCGGTAACTTGAAGTTACTGATAATTTATCTCGATAGGTCACGTACTGTAACAGTACCGAATCTCGTTACGTTTCCCGTACTGCAGTTCTAAGATGGACTGGCAAGGTCAGACAGTGGTCGATTGCGTTCCAGAAAGAAGACGTTAGTATTGTTGAAATAACTCGCTGCCGTTCGAGTTCTCAAGGACATCTCCATGACGACACGGAATTACATAAAATTGCGCAAATTTACACAAAAGAGCGAGAGAAAACAAAGATTTGTTTCAATAGTTCAGTAACATCAGTACAGTACAAACCTAATTTTGTTCTGTATTTCCCAATAGTTTTCACCGAGCCTGGAATTATTTTTCAAGACGGTTGTTCCCTTAATCGCTGGATACAGTAGGAATTTTCAAAAATATTCTTTGACAACCTACGTTATTTTTTTCAGAATTTTAAATATAAGCTTTACCTGGTAGAAGAAAAAATGACAGAGAGAGCTTTAGAATTGGTCGCAGCACTTCCAATAATGACGGCTATGAAAAATAAGATTGGCCAAATAATGAAGAGCACTGACATGTTCCCGTACAACTCAGGTAATTTCTCAAATTGCGAAAAAAGCCCGTAAAATGAATTTTAATTAATTTCCAGGTAACGCGAGAATCACCCGTTTTTCTCGACACGCCCTTCCAACGCCCGGATGAATTTCCTCCCATCTTTCAGTCCGTTCGACACGAAATCAACGTCACATTGAAAAACACAGTCACAAGACAACGAAAAATTTGAAAATTTAAAAAGCACGTCGACCGGATCCACGTGACTCAAACCGCTTCAGAAACCCGACAAAAAGATATCACTTGATCTGACTATTAAGCTCTAGGACTCTTACCTGCAAGAGCAGTTCATGTACAACGGCATGTCGACATCCATGATGTCTTTCCCGAATTCTTTGACGCGCCCAATTTTTTCCCCAGGGTTCGGAACAGCTCTCAAAATTCGGTTTGGTCCTGCGGCCATAAATCTATGGCCCTTGTGACATTCGTATTCCAGCCCGATGAAGATTTTAAGTTTTGCGTCTCCGTCATTGATATCTCCTGTTTCAGGAGAGTTGAAAAAAGGAGGCGAAGATTGAAATTTTAAAAAGCGTTCACACATACACGATAGGAGCACGAACAAATTCTAAATTTCTTCACACGTAAAAATGAAATATATAGTTCTGATTCAACTGAGTTCGTAACTGACTTGAATTAAAAAGTGTGGATAATATTATAGCGAATTTTTCCCCAATATTTATTCGCATACCTCCCCCATCTCTTTTGCAAAATTAGGAGATAAAAAGAAGTGCGTCATCGATAGGTACGAAGAGTTTTCAACTTCTTTGAAGTTTAGGTGCGCCTTATTCTTGAGCCTTTTGTGGAAAATGTTAGATCCATTTAAAACACATACTCTATAACAATGTTTGAGAAAAGGAATTCAAACATCTGAATTAAAATATCTAAACTAAATTCGATTCGCGTTGAGGCGATTGATGTCATAAAAACAATAATGCATAGAAAAGGGGACTCACTCTTTTTTGTGTTCCAAGCAGGAGGCGGCTTGTTGGGATTGTCCAAGTTTCGTGGGCCTTTGTCAGGGAACTTGACTTTGACAATCCACGGTAAGAGGTAATTAGACCACGAGCTGAAATTCGGCTGATCGTGTATTCCGGCACTTTAATAACAGGAAAATGATTTTTAGAATTGCCACGATTAATTTTGTCGAACTGGTGCAGGCGATTATAAATGGATTACGATTATAAATGAATGGATTCACCGATAACTCCTACCAATATCTAGTGTTCTTTAAAAGAAACATTTATTATCGGTGTCGACAGAGCATTCGATTTTCATCTGTTCGTTTCGTGTTTATCCCGGAACCGAATTCGTACTCAATTTGGCTTTAAGCTGGAATGAATCCCATTTAAAGAGAATCGCAGTTCAAGTCTTCATCATCTTTTCGCTCCTTCTTTCTCGTCAAATTGGGACAAGACATGGAAGCATTCACGAAGGGGTTGTGCGACAATGCATTACAGTATATTCAACGATACTACGCCAAGTCGTCCAATGATGAATTTTCAATGTTTTACAAACACTTACTTGTTAGCGCAGCAAGTTTTTAAAAGAATGATTCGAAGAAAAATGAGTTTTTCTTTTGGTAAAACTAACAATAAAATTCGTGATAATTCCTTACCAGTTTATTCGTGAAAATCGAGGTTTTTTCCAATGTTTTCGGACCAAGATTGCGCTATTTATTTATTCGTTTTTGTGCAGTGACGCGGCACACGTTTTCATATTCACTTCTTTATCATGATTCATGAATATACCTCACACCTTGGCTTCAAATTATATATTAGGGAAAATCCGGAAGCTCATTCTTCAAGTGTAACAAAAATCACGGAATATGCACACAGAATTCCATCAAATTCCTTTGCTCCGACGGCCAGCTTTTTTCGTGGCCAGATTCACTAGTTACAGTACGAAACTTGAATCGAAAATGCGCTCCTAGAAATACATTCCAAGGCTCTTTCGACACTCACTGATGAAAGGGTAGGGCATTTTCCGGGATCCTTTCCCGGATATCGAATGACTAGCTTCGTGTGTTCAAGAATCAATTGAGTTACAATAATTTTTTGCGAGCAGTATTTGAAAAATGACATTGCGGGACAATGTTGGTCAAAATTATCAGATTTTTGTTTGGGTATACTCTGATTTTTTTCCAGTGATTCCATTAAGAAGACATTTTAAATTGAACATATGAGTCTCGGGCGCACGCGTGGATCCAACAACACTCGTGCCGGCGCCTTCGGGGTCACGACGTGGAGTCGCATGAGTTGCGCCACCGCGGCCGGTTCGCTCCTGTTATCGCAATGAAGGAAAGAGAAACAGGCTGAAGAATCTCGGGTACTGTTACATTGCGTGACCATCCCTAGAAAATGGGATACACCAAAATTATTATTTTTATTATTATTATTATTACAGTCGAACCCCTCCAAGAGGAATTTCAGGGGACCAGTAAAAATTCCGAGTTTATAATGTTTCGAGTTCGAGGGAAAAGCATTTTTTGTTTTGGGAAAGAAAGAAGAATTACAGGAAACTGCAATCGGTGATATTCTGGGCCTTGAATTGCTTCTTGAATGAGTTGACAGGATGCCCAACTTGGAGGCAAGGGTTCATTTGCCCAATTAGTCTTTCACTTCCTTTCAAACACTCATCAAGTTACTTTTTTTCATAGCTTTTCTCATTCCTGCGTCAAGAGAATAATAGCCAAAAGGCCTCAAAAAATTCGAGTTACCGAGGTTCGAGAGGAAAAGCCTTCGAGTTAGAGACGTTTTTAATGCATTATTTCTCAGGGAATTCAGATGGGGACTTGATTTTAATTGATTTTTATAATTACGCGGTCCGCTGGAAAAGATTCGGATAGCTTCGGAATAAAGTCACAATTTTGTCGAGTCACGTCGGTAACTTGAAGGTACTGATAATTTATCACGATAGGCCACGTACTATAACAGTACCGAATCTCGTTACGTTTACCGTACTGCAGTTCTAAGATGGACTGGCAAGGTCAGACAGTGGTCGATTGCGTTCCAGAAAGAAGACGTTAGTATTGTTGAAATAACTCGCTGCCGTTCGAGTTCTCAAGGACATCTCCATGACGACACGGAATTACATAAAATTGCGCAAACTTACACGAAAGAGCGAGAGAAAACAAAGATTTGTTTCAATAGTTCAGTAACATCAGTACAGTACAAACCTAATTTTGTCCTGTATTTCCCAATAGTTTTCAACGTGCCTGGAATTATTTTGCAAGACGGATGGTCCCTTAATCGCTGGATACGGTAGGAATTTTCAAAAATATTCTTTGACAACCTACGTTATTTTTTTCAGAATTTAAAATATAAGCTTTACCTGGTAGAAGAAAAAATGACAGAGAGAGAGCTTTAGAATTGGTAGCAGCACTTCCAATAATGACGGCTATGAAAAATAAGATTGGCCAAATAATGAAGAGCACTGACATGTTCCCGTACAACTCAGGTAATTTCTCAAATTGCGAAAAATTCCCGTAAAATGAATTTTAATTAATTTCCCGGTAACGCGAGAATCACCCGTTTTTCTCGACACGCCCTTCCAACGCCCGGATGAATTTCCTCCCATCTTTCAGTCCGTTCGACACGAAATCAACGTCACATTGAAAAACACAGTCACAAGACAACGAAAAATTGAAAATTTAAAAAGCACGTCGACCGGATCCACGTGACTCAAACCGCTTCAGAAACCCGACACACATAAAAGATATCACTTGATCTGACTATTAAGCTCTAGGACTCTTACCTGCAAGAGCAGTTCATGTACAACGGCATGTCGACATCCATGATGTCTTTCCCGAATTCTTTGACGCGCCCAATTTTTTCCCCAGGGTTCGGAACAGCTCTCAAAATTCGGTTGGGTCCTGCGGCCATAAATCTATGGCCCTTGTGACATTCGTATTCTAGCCCGATGAAGATTTTAAGTTTTGCGTCTCCGTCATTGATATCTCCTGTATCACGAGAGTTGAAAAAAGGAGGTAAAGACTGAAATTTTAAAAGGCGTTCACACTTACACGATAGGAGCACGAACTAATTCGAAATTTCTTCACACGTAAAAATGACTATATAGTTCTGATTCAACGGAGTTCTTAACTGACTTGAATTAAAAAGTGTGCAAAATATTATTGCGAAATTTTCCCAATATTTATTCGCATACCTCCCCGATCTATTTTGCAAAATTAGGAGATAAAAAGAAGTGCGTCATCGATAGGTACAAAGAGTTTTCAAATTCTTTGAAGTTTGGGTGCGCCTTATACTTGAGCCACTAGTGGAAAATGTTAGATTCACTTAAAACACATACTCTATCACCATGTTCGAGAAAAGGAATTCAATTCAAGAGCATCTGAATTAAAATACTGTATCTGAACTGAATTCGATTCGCATTGAGAAGATTGATGTCATAAAAACAATAAAGCATAGAAAAGGGGACTCACTCTTTTTTGTGTTCCAAGCAGGAGGCGGCTTGTTGGGATTGTCCAAGTTTCGTGGGCCTTTGTCAGGGAACTTGACTTTGACAATCCACGGTAAGAGGTAATTAGACCACGAGCTGAAATTCGGCTGATCGTGTATTCCGGCACTTTAATAACAGGAAAATTATTTTGAGGATTGCCACGATTAATTTTGTCAAACTGGTGCAGGCGATTATAAATGGATTACGATTATAAATGAATGGATTCACCGATAACTCCTACCAATATCTAGTGTTCTTTAAAAGAAACATTTATTATCGGTGTCGAAAGAGCATTCGATTTTCATCTGTTCGTTTCGTGTTTATCCCGGAACCGAATTCGTACTCAATTTGGCTTTAAGCTGGAATGAATCCCATTTAATGAGAATCGCAGTTCAAGTCTTCATCATCTTTTTGCTCCTTCTTTCTCGTCGAATTGGGACAAGACATGGAAGCATTCTATGAAGGGGTTGTGCGACAATGCATTACAGTATATTCAACGATACTACGCCAAGTCGTCCAATGATGAATTTTCAATGTTGTACAAAGCTACAAACACTTACTTGTTAGCGCAGCAAGTTTCTAAAAGAATGATTTGAAGAAAAATGAGTTTTTCTTTTGGTAAAACTAACAATAAAACTCGTGATAATTCTTCGGCAGTTTATTCGTGAAAATCGAGGTTTTTCAAATTTGTTTGGGACCAGATTGCGCTTTTTACTGACTCGTTCTCGTACAGTAACGCGACACACGTTATAAGATTCATTTCTTCATCATTAATAAATAACTCACACCTAGACTTCAAATTAAATATTTGGGAAAATCCGAATGCTAATTTTCTGAAGTGAAACAAAAATCACGGAATGTGCACAAAGAATTCCATTAAATTCCTTTGCTCCCACGGCCAGCTTTTTTCGTGGCCAGATTCACTAGTTACAGTACAAAACTTGAATCGAAAATGCGCTTCTAGAAGTACATTCCAAGGCTCTTTCGACACCCACTGATGAAAGGGTAGGGCATTTTCCGGGATCCTTTCCCGGATATCGAATGACTAGCTTCGTGTGTTCAAGAATCAATCGAGTTAAAATAATTTTTCGCGAGCAGTATTTGAAAAATGACATTGCGGGACAATGTTGGTCAAAATTATCAGATTTTTGTTTGGGTATACTCTGATTTTTTTCCAGTGATTCCATTAAGAAGACATTTTAAATTGAACATATGAGTATAACTCAGTTTTTTTTTCGGATTCTACACTGGAAAAGGTACTGAAAGAAATTGTAAACCACTTCCCCCGTAAATGACATCAGTCATTTGCAATTGATTTTTTAATACCGTAGAAAAATAAAAATTAAGAAGACATTTTCAATTAAACATATACGAGTACTGTATAAATCCGTTTTCCTCCGGATTTTAAACTATAAAAGGTACTGACAGAAATTGTAAACCACCTCCCTCGTAAAAGAAATCAGTCATTCGTGATTACGTTTTTTTTTAAATACTGTACAACAAATAAATAAATGAAATGTCGCACCTGTGCGAATAGATGGAGGCGGAACCGACGCAAACAAGCGCCCAATGCGGTGCGTCGGCGTCCACCGCCAACACTCTCGGCCCGGTCGGAGATGGACTCCTCGTCCTCCTTCCCTTCAACTCCTCCTCGCCTTCCGCATCGTCGCCGCACTTGAGCCGCCTCAGCATCTCCTCAGTCGTCTCTTCTTCCGCCCCACTATACTCATCATTCTCTTCTGCGTCAGATTCTTCTTCTTCTTCGTCTTCCTCCTCATCTTCTTCTTCCACTGGCTGCTGTTCCGCCGTTTCTTGTTGCGGCTTTGGAGAGAGATAGGAGAGCGGCTTGCGTCGTTGCGGGGTGCCGCTGGACGGCGACGGCTCGCGGAATTTCCCGTTGGATGAAAGGATTTCCAGGGCGGTCGCGGATTCGTTCGAATGCTGGCTGAGGCTCGCTCGGGCGAAATCCATGCTCAAACCGGTGCGACCTACAAGAAATAATTCGAATTTTCAATACAGTATTAAAGTGTCTATTCACTTTCGCTCCAGATACATGGAAAGTTAAAAAATAAGTTTACAAAATTTACAAAACATCTTAAAATGTTCTGGTTTAAAGTTTAAGATGATCTCAAAAATAAATAAATAAAAAATCGGCATGCACTATTACTATGCATGTGAGGTTTGTAAACGTAAAATCTCTTCCAAGTTTTTAGATATACAATAATTCACCCCGTTCATCTCTTTTCAGTTTTCAAGCCGTCCCAATTTGAAATACAGTAATTTTAGGGCTTTTTTAAATCGCCGCGACAAACGATAGATAAAAATAAAAAAGGTAATAGCACTTCTATACGAGCCGCCATCTTAAAATGCTCTGGTTAGTTTTTAAAAAAACGCTATCATAAAAATAGTCCGAAATTTTCCAAGTCAATTGGCAAACTCACCAGATTGATCCTCATCTTTGAAAGGTCTCTTGGATCCCTCCAGCTGCTCACCCGAGTCGCCAGGTTCTCCTTCCGTTTTCCCCCTGACATCATTCCCATTATCCGCCTCTTTCACACTCTGTTCTCCAAAATATCTGAGTCTCTTTTCCTCAGGCCCGACTTCAGATTTCTGTTCAGTCGACACTTTCAAAGACGAGCTACGATTCGCGGGAAGCGGGAAATAGTTGCATCGCAAACGACAACATTCTCCACCCATTCTTGAGTAGAAAGCCACGTTTGCTTCTTGGATTTCAAACGGATCTTCACGAGATGATTGACGTCGTCCGCAGTCGCAGGTAGAGACGTACTTCAACCCACTGCAGTGGGGCATTACTGGCAACCATTCCTGTCTGCATTCAAAAGATGTTCATTAACCCACAAAAAAAAGTATTTCGGCAATAAAATCTTCACACAGCGAAGCCTGCTCCGAATAGCAGCCCCTGCGACATACGATCATCATGGAAAATTCTTCGCTCAAACTATATAAAATTTAAGAATAGAGGAGCGTCTTTAGAAGATCTGAATATACAGTACCATAAATGCACTAATAACTGCCGGTCTTTCATAAAAGCTTGGTCACGGAGATTCAAGTGAATATTAGTAGGGTCCAAGAAAAGGGGGAGGGAGGTAAAATTCCGGGAATTTTCTTGACCATAATGATCCTTTCCACAATTTCACCTTTTCGTTTCGAATGAACAATGGCAAATCAAGTTTTTCCCCCTCCTGTTTTTCCTTTTTTCTCCTCCTTTTTTTACACAGCAGCAACTCCTGGAACTAATCGCCGGTCTCTATTCAACGCCGGGGTGAAAATTTCAAATTAACGCCGGGGGCGTTTTTTGGAGCATTTACGGTATTATTTCAATGCATAAATATTCGACAAGAATGCAAGAAAAAATTTCCCAAAACAAAAGCGAAAAAAGATGAATTAATCACGGTACTCGCCTTCCCCTATGCGTCGTATGCAATGGACTGATGCAGCAATTTCCACGAAGAGACAACTCGGAACACATTTGCCGACCCGATTTCCAAATTCGATCACATTCCTTCCTCAATTCTTGCATATATTTTCCGCACAACGGACCAGTCCGCTGACCAATCATCACATTCTCCGCATGCCTCAACTGTGAAAACGGAAATAAGCAGTTACTCATCAGGATTTCCAAGAAATGAAAACTGACGAATGAATCGTTGGAAGCAATTAGAACCGTCCTCATATTGCTGTATACGCACAGGTATTCCTTAAATAAATAAAAAACTTTTTATTTTTCCCCGGGATAATAAGTGTTTAAGCGCCGGAAAGCAACAATATTTGGTCAATTTTCCGGGGAACATATTTTGATTATCCTGCGAAATTTCAGTCCAAATCTCAAATTGAATTCGAGTGAACCAAGGGAGAAAAGTATAAATCTTTTCAGAATATGTGTTGACGTAGAATAAAAGTAAAAACAAGCAAGAACAAGGAGAGCAATGCTCAACACAATCGCAAAATTTTCAAAAGCTTCTACTGAATCACTTAAAATATACGTCTAACAGCTAAATTTCGCATGACACTTTTTTAAGCAACCTATTCTCCCAGTCAGGGTCCACTATCCGAAACGAAGATCGTTCGCAGCCCAATTGAATCGCGAAAAAAGTACATTATGCGAGGCATGTATTATCCAATTTAATATCTCTGGAACGGTTTTGAAACAGCCGAAAATAACTCACTCGTGTGAGATGCAAAGCCTCATTGTAATGTGGCGGCAAATTCTCCTGATACGCCGCAATGGCAACCGGCAAAACCTTCTCGCACCGCATCTCCGAATACCGCATTTCCACGTTCACGGCACGAACCGCCGCGGCGGCCATCTCCTCGCTGCGATCCGTGAGAAATTCGTACAAACGAGGCGCCACTCGGGCCCATTCCCCGACTTTAGGCAGGACGAAACTCGCCGGCGCCGTTCGTCGGCCGACAGAGTCGTCGAATCCGTCCGCCGCCGCCAGCTCCACGTGCCCGCCGACAAATTCAGCGAAACTGGCGGAAAATTTCACGCCGCCGGCGTTGTGATTGACTGAATGATCGTCTTCTCTCGAGTTTACGGAGGATTCCCCGGAATTGGCATCGGTTGTGGATAATTGAAATGTTTTCGGGGCGGCTTCGCAAGAGGCCACCAGCGAACGGAGCAGACCAAGTGACGAATGCATCGTCCCACGCGTAACTGGTAGAAATAAAACACAGAGAAACAATATTCAAAGATTGATTTGCGGAGTTTTTATTTTTGCGAGAGCAAAGGCGAAGTTATTTCACCATCGAACAATTCAAAGAAACAAGTCAACTAGTTGGCCAATTGAGAGCTAAAAAAATGGGAAAGGGGAGACTGATTCCTGCGTGCAGAACAGATAAAATGTATTTCCAGTCGTAAAAAAGAGTTAATATTCATTCTATAATTGTGGACATAATTTCATCTGATTTAAACCGCTCCGGGAGGATTCGTCCCTAACGAAATTTAAACACGATTTAAAAACATTTATAAAATCTCTCGATGCAAGCACTGCATTGAAGCAATGATAGCGGCATTTTTTTTTTTAAACGTAACATTTCCAATTATGAACTTTTACATCATTTTCAAATCGTGGACGATTCACGAAAGTTCGAGTAAATTTTTTTTCGTCATTTGGTTGCACTGAGACATAGCATAAAATAAAATAAAAGTTATGCAACTTCTGCCAGGCGATTCATTTGGATCTTCTCATCATTAGTAGCAAGTCGGGCGGGTGGAAAAATGTCCAAAAAAGTGGAAGACGAAACTAAACAATGATCTCACAGTCTATACTGCCCAACTTTTGATTCGAATTCTGCGTGCATATGAAAAATAGGAATACGAGAAAGAAATCAATACCTCTCATTTACTTCATTAATAACTTCCTAATACTGCACTGTAGATAACTTTCATGAAAAGACATTCCACCCAGCATTAATTTTGTCACGGCAGAAAAAACTAACAGAAGCGACGCCGTCGCTCATTCAAAAAAATCGACCAGAAAGGAACATTGGCCAAAAACTAAAATTTTAAGAAGTGTACAACACATCACAGGAAATCTATCGACAAAAGGGGCTGATAATACTGTACAGTCTATTGAAGAAACCTCTTCCCCGAACTATTCAAAAGGTTGCACTCCTATCTCAGTTCTAAGAAAATACCTTCCGTCACGTGGAGTGGAACAACAGTACTGTACTTGACCTTGAATAGTCATAAGAAAATTATGTTGGGAACTCCTTCGGTTGATGACTCAAGAACGAAAAAATTATCCATTAAGACTGATACGAAAACTATTATTTGAAAATCTTTCCTTTTCGTTTTCCTCGAATTATTCCTTTACTTCTCTTGCGACTTTTACAGTTCGCAGGGATACTTTTTTCCCGCGTGCTGTTACTAAAAATACTGTAATTACTCAGATGCGCAAACGGGTTTCTTCAAGGGAAGACGAGAAGGCTTTCATAAAATACTTTTCTTGAATTCTAAGAAATCCCATTCTCATCCCAAGGAAAACCTCGCACATTCAAAATATTGTTTTTCCCACCAAAAATAAATAAATACTCACTATTTCTTTTCTGCACATCCAAGAAAACGAATCGCTCGCTGGAAGGCAAGGCAAATAAGGCGTGAGCAGCGGAGTTCGTAATGACTCGGGCTTTTCTCAGTATCTTATAAATCGAGTCTTCGAGAGATTCGACGAGCTTAGAGACCTTCTTGCGAACCGCAGGCGACATTTGTAACCCGGCGTGATAACCGGAATGCGTCCTTTTGGCCCACGACGACCAACAACGTCGATCTTCCGTTTGCGGCACTGAAGCAACGATCGACGGATCCGCGGGAAAATAGAACAAAACACGAGGAGTGCAGAGCCTTCCGTGGTCGATCCACTCGTCGTCAATTTCGCTTTCAAAAGCGCGGAGGAAAGAAGTCACCTTCTTCCGGGAATCCTCCCTAGAAAAAGTTTGAAAAAGACCTATTGACACGAATTTCTTAAACGGAGGAAGTGCGGGGGAAATTATTCCTTTCATTTAAACGTAGTTTTCTGAACCTTCGCGCAGGTGTCGCCCGAATCACTAACCCTGACGAAAGTAAGCTAAAACTGTAAACTAATCCAACTTTATCCCATCCAGCCTATGAAAATATTTCACACGAACTAATCAAAATTAAGTAAAAAAACGTAATTTTGAAATTCAAAATAGAGTAGATTCAAGAGATGCCTATGCAAGAGCAAAGAGAACATAGTTGGGGATGACGCATTTAAAAAAATAAACAGAAAAACATCGTACTTGCACAAAAGTTTATTCATAAATGTAATCCATCATCAAACGTTTCCTACTTGCAATAGCAATCTCCAGCAAAATACTGTAACTGTTTCAAAAAAACAAAAAAAATCTCCTCCTGACTGACGAAAAACACGTAAAAATAATCACGAAAATTTCCTAGTTTTCTGAATGTCCCTTGAAGACAAAAAAACGAACCTGAGCGGGTTCAAGGCCAAAAATACTCGGAGCCACGAGGCGTCGAAAACTGCGTTCCGATGCGAAACGATGACAATGTGAGAAACAGAGAAGATGAAAAACAGAGCTTGATGGAAATCCGCGTTGATCTGAGTCCATGTCGGTAGAAAACCCTAGAATTAAAAACCGTGATCAATAAAAAAAATACTGTACGTTCTAACTAAAAAAATCATGCTTGTGATACCAAGGGACGAAACTCACAGTTTTGAGAAACTCTTCCCGGATTTCTGGATTTAAACGCAGAATAGCATCAGCGTCAATCACGGGTGATTCCAGTGACAGAATCACCAGCTTTTTCACAGGATCGTACACTCCTCTGACCTGTTCAAAATTATATCTCAAATATTAAAATCTACATCTTCTGAAATTTTATGACTTTTCAATATTTCCTACTTTTCAAAACGCTCCTAGCAAAAATGTCTCAGAAAGCATACAAAATAATCATGGAATTTCATATAACCATCGTACATCTGCTTCAAGAGATAATAGGATGATCCTGTTGCTTTCGTTTTCGGAAAAAAAGTCCACGAAAATCTTAGTCTTCAAAGTCCAAAAAGACACTCAAAGAGAAAGCTTCCTATAATTTAAAGGTGAACATTCCGACTTACACATGAAACCTAAGCTAATCCAAAATAATTTTTGACCTCTGTTTGACCTGACCTATCACGAATGATTTCATGAAAAGATTCTATATTTTCCGGAAAATTAGGAAAAAACGTACCTTATGTAAAATTGATGGATCATCGTTTGCCTGACCAGTCCAGGATCTCGGAAGTGAGGGTTTACAGCTCAACAGCTCTTCTACAGGCACGCCCTTTGCCCAATCAGCTTCTGGTCCAGCTTTCCCAATGATCGCAATAATAACCACGTACGGCTGTTCAGTCGAGTTCAATGCATCCCCACTTTAAACGCATGCAAAAAAAGGAGAGAAATAATTATTGCATACATGAATCAACAACACGATACATTATTCGTTTACTTATCACCTCAAGAAAAAAAAGGCATCTGAATAATGGGATTTTAAGCTTTACAACGTTAAACGAACAAAAGAATGAGGATTATTTCCACGAAAGGGCAGAACAAAAGCAGTCCATCAACTTCAATTTTTTTTTAAACGATTTCTCTGGGCATATTTCGAAAAATGAACATCCGTCGCTCAGTTCTATGGGCAACGGGAAATAAATTATGTTTTTCACGCGCTAAACTAAATTTACAATAGAATGAAAATTATGAAAAAAAAACACTTACGGAAAATCGTCGCCAGCAGACAAATCGAAGCAGACAATTCGTTTGTCAACGTCTTTCCTCAACTTCGCACCATCACGTTTCTTCACATTGCCTCCGGAAGTCGCATCGTCTTCGGCCGCAAAAGATTCTTCCATCACACTCAACGCGAAAATCAAATAAACTTTTTTCCACTCGTTCACGTCTGAAAAAGAAGACAGCAATAATCGGCAGAAGAGAATATGGTATCGGCGGACTCCTAAAACTACATTATTTAGCAGAGGCAAAAACTTCAAGAAACCGGGTCAACAGAAAAAGATGCTGCTGCAGAGGAACTGCTCGTACATAATTTGCAGGTCGGCCGAAATAGGAAAAATGTTCACTGAATAAACGAATTATTCAGTGGAAACTGTTATAAAGGGAGTCCATCTGCATCAACATATTCAAGAACTGCTGTACCATAATCAACCCACAAAAATATTCGACATTATTTCAAATATATGTTCAACGATACGTTTTCTAGCAGATTATCAAATTCAGTCAAAAATATGAGGTCTGAATGCACAGAAAACAATGTCAGCAATCGATTTGAGGCATCTGATTCGCATAAGATCACTTCAAGAATGCTCGCCTTTGAGATACGAAGTATCGTGCTTACTCACTAATTGGATCACTGACGCCAAAAGTAGATCGTAGAAAAAATTCATCTCAAATTAAAAAAAAATTCCACTCGCCGATTAACAATTTAGGAATGATTAAAAGAAACCAGACGGTTGCGTTTACGATATTCCATCGCACGAAAAATGATGGTTCGTGAGTCACGGAGTTCAGTTCAAGCCCTAATGATTCACGAATTTGTATCGCGATGTCATTTCCTACATAATCCTACGTACAACTAAACAAAATTTACGTCAGGTAAATTTATAACACTTCTTCAGCTTTCGAATCAGAAATTCGCCGAAGGCAGTGAATGAACCGAATTCCTCTCATCTCCTCGAATAGAAAGAATCTCGCTCGCAAGTTTCGGCCCCTTTCGTTCCTGAAATGAATGAAAAAAATATTACTCAGAGGTGAAACGAAATAAATGCTTGTAATTGTGTTTATTATTCAATTCTTTCAACTCCATCGTTTTCTTCATTGCTTACAGAGGTCACAGGTGGAGGTTTTTTTCTAATTTTTCGATATTAAAAATACCGTAATTATTAAACGAAATTAGTTGGATTCACATTACCGATTCATGTGATACCTGGCAGACAATTCACGAAGCAAGGTTGCGTGTTGGAAAAATTCGCTTCCAAGAAAAGAATTCATACCGCAAGCAAAAAATCGGGGGCATTAAAAAAACATAAAACAACGTGATTACCTTGAGCATAGAAACACGTTCCCAGGTACCAGTTTCACAGCGATCGCAAGCCTTCTTTGGCATGCGATCCAGAGAGATGACCCTGTTTTTGCAATTTTTGCATTCAAACCATCGTTTCTTGCCCTTGATCCGTTTCACGTCATGCATCAACAATTTGCACATGTCTGACTGTCCCAATGCTCGGTATTTGCACTGAAATAAACGTTTCGAAAAAATTATACGATCTTCGAACAAAATTTCTGAAATCGAGGACACCAACTTTTGCACAGATGACCATAGTACATTCCATCTCTTTCACTTGAGCCATTTTCTCCTCCAAAGTATCCTTGAAAGCCAACCGATTGAAATAGGCATCTTCCTCGAGCAAAACGGCACCTTTGAGCAAGTCCTGGCTTTTCGCTGTGACATCTCCCAACTTTTTCTGCTCCTCTTCTGTAAGGCTGATTCCTAAAGCCTCAGCAAAGGCACCTCGTCGCTTCGCTGAGAGCGAAAAAAAAAACATTGATCCACGAAAACGACAAGATTTCTGTTCCATGTCTCACGTTTTGAAATTTCGACAGGAGAAGCGTTCTCATTTCCGCTTTCAGTTTCTAAGGCAGCTAAACGGGCAGCGATCCGATTGGTTTTTTGCGAAGCGTCTTTCGATGCATTTCTCTTCAGCATTTCGTTCGGATCAACTTTCGAAATTTTCTCGCCTTTCAGTTTCCTCATCGCACGAACCTGAAAACATAATAAATTTCAATAAATTCCTGTCAAGCGTCCAAATAAATCCAAATCGACCGAGAACAGACATTTTTCAGGAGATCCAAAGCACAAGATTTCACGCACCTTCGCGGCAGACATGGACACTTTCTGAGAGCTTGGGGCGTCATCGTCATCGAAATCGACGTAATATTCGTCAGACGTCGTCTTAGGCTGAATAGAATTCGCGGCTGGTTCACGTCGGGGAACCCCGCCCAGTTTGCTCGAGGAAATAGCAGTAATCTGACGAAGGGATCCTTCGCTTTTTGTCAAAGGCACTGAAGCATTCACAGACGGAACAGATCCGCCGAGAGACGCCAAACGCTGCGCATCCACGGACGCCCTCGACGAAGACGTAGTATTTCTTTTGAGCAACTCTTTGGGATTCACGACAGTCATTTTCGGCTTGGCACTTCCTGATTGCTGCACAGATTGCGAGGTTTGTGTCAATTGCGACAACAGCATTCGAGCCCCTGGGCCGGGAACGGCCAACAAATTGCCTCTGCAGAACAAAAACCAGTGAATCATGATTTTTAGTTTTTTTTCTTTCTCATATTTTTTGGGACATATTCAAATTTATTCAAGTTTTATTTGCTTCTCTATGAGTGTCGCCTGAACTGTTTCACGTTTCGTTAATTTCACAAGGTTTCATGATTTTCTCAAATTTATCAAGTTCTATACGTTTCGGCGCTTAGTCAAGGTCAGCGTTAATTTAGATTCATTATTAGGTTCGAAATTACGGTGATTTTGATTCCCGTTAGTTAGACGTAATTATTAGTTAGACGTAGTTAGCTCACATACAACGTTAGATTGAGAATCTTAGCTTAGAATTAAAGTTAGCTAAGGTATTACCTTAGGTCAGCTCTGGTACAGTACACGTATTTGGTTATGTTCAGATGTATATACTTCGAAATAAATTAGGACAGTGCAGATACAGTATTAGATTAAATTATTTAGGGCTTCAGATGGAAATCCAAATAATGCACTAGATATTGGGTTCGTCAAGTGAAGTTAGCTCAAACTGCTGACAATCAAGTACAATATTGAATAACATCTGTCTGTCGTTTACATTTTTATAAATCCAAGTAAACCAGAAAAATACCTTTATCTCCAAGGAAGTCCGCATGAAAATTTGTAATATAGTAAAGGTACTTTCGCACAGAAAATCAAACTCACAGTTCAGGGTCAGACTTCCGAAACTTCGTGACAGCAGTTTTTTCCGCGTCGCTCAGGTGCTTCAATTTATCCACAGACCCCAGCGACTGGGCAGTGTTATTTTTGGCCAATCCACTCATGGACAGCTTCCTTCTCTTCGCGTCCGCTAGGCCTTCAGAGCTCTCAAGGCAAACAACATTTCCGCCCAAGCACATCTTGAATGTTAAAATGATAAAAGAGGTCAAGAATTATAAATCTCAGCTAACATGAGGCTTCTAAAATACAGATATTTCAACATCTAAAATATTTCAATATCCGAATGAAATGCGAATGATTGATACGAAGGACAAATTTCTGAGCACAGTATTCAATTTTAAAGAAAATAAATTTCATCAACTTTAAATATCAAGATCCAAACGAATATACGATAATAACCAAACAAGATACAGGTAGACTCGTCACAGCGATTTTTCTTGTTTGATATCGTAGCGTTCTCTACAACAAATTTTATTTTTTAATCCCCTGAATTTCGTTATGAAGAACCCATATGAGACATGGAGAGAACCCTATGATAAAAAATTCGCGAACTCTCTCTCTCTTTAAAGACATACGGGGGACCAGAAAAAAATTTGTTTATAGAGAGAGTCCACGTCCACCTGTAATAAAAAATAGAGCAACCTTGTCAGAAAAACGCCTTTTCGGGTCAACGCTGTTCAATCCGGTGTTCAAACTCTGGCGTTTTGCAGCAGCTTTGCGGTACTCTCCCTGAAGATGATGCACGCAGAACTGACAAGTTGCTTTGTTAACTGGAACAACGCATGCGGTACCATCCTTCTTCCTTCCTTGACAGAGACCGTAGTCTTTCGACTGACCAATCTCCAGAACACGATCAGGCGTACTAACAGATAACGTCGCATCTACGCCGAATCGTCCATCCCTGCAAAAATTAAACGTCGAAAATTCTCATGCTGCACAAAAACGGCAGTCGGAAAAAAAATTATTCGTTGCTGTAAATAATATAATACGTTACCTGTTCTCCAATATGGACGGATTCAACAATCCGATCACGGTTCCAAGATTAAGCTTGAACAACTTCTCATGCGCTCTGCCGAAAAGCATCACTGATACAACTCGAGTACAGTCTCCAGTCAAGTCACTTAAACTCAGCACCGAAAACTGGGAGCCCTGAAATAAAACAATACATTTTAAAACTTGCTTCTTGAACTTCAGGTCGAAAAATTTAGTTTACTTTTTTAGAAATCTTCGGATGACCTTTGCCTATGATAACGCCCATGACAACCCAATCGCCAACAGTGTCGATTTTTCCTCCTCTCAGGTGCATCTTTATCGTCGAAAGCGTGTAAATTACTTTATCTTTCAACATCGTTTCCAGTTGTATCGAGCCGATCAAAGGCGTTCTGCGGAAATAAAAAAATATTTGAATGTAGCAGAAAATACGGTAATACAGAACAAAAATGTCTCTCTGCAACTGGAAAAAATCATAAAATACAGCAGTTTACCCGGGGTTGAAAGTTCCCTTATCGAAGAATCCTCATGCATTTTTTAAAATCACAAAATCCGGAGAAATGGACGATCTCATGCTTTTTCTGAGAAAATCTGAGAGAAATTCGTCTATTACACATTCTGCAGAAACAGCCAGGAATGTTCAA